CGTGCCACTGGCGGGGGAGAGCCCAGGGGGAAGGGCAGGAGGCGAGGAGGGAGGACGGGAGGAGTGATGGGACGCCGGGAACAGATGCTGACATTCAAGACAATGAGGGGACGCTCGCGCCTCTATAAGGACATGTTGACATTTTGTGCAACACGGACGTGGCGAGACCGCGGAGCGAGGGCTGGCGCTCCCGCCATCTCCTTCCCCCTCCGACCCCAGCCCTTTCCTTCCCTGCCTGCCCTCTCAGAACCCGATACAGCAGGGCAGGGCGGCCCAGCCCAGGCCGGGGTCTCCCAGAGGAGCGGAGGGAATCTGCATGCCATTTGCATATGATTTGCATTCCGGTCACAGGTGGCATCAGTCTTCCAGCTCCCGCGGTTGCTTCCTGGAACTGCAGCCTCCGAGGCCTGGCAGAGGTGTGGCTGTGGGACACAGCAGAGGGGCACTCGGGACACTAACGCACAACATTTGCTCAGCACTCTGCAATTTACATAACAAAGCCAAACATTTAAATCACTTCACTCTCCGATGACACTGGAAAGGAGGAGGTCAGGGAGCCTCATCTCCTGGAAGGCAGGGAAGTGAGGCTGGATAACGCCATGTTACCCGGCTCGGATCTGGGTCCCACAAATCCTCACCTGCTCTTCCCAGCTGCCAGCCTGGGAGGCTTGGTCTCCAGCACCAGCCCTCTGCCCATAGCCTGAGGGGAGATGGTGGTGGTAGCGATGGTGGTAGCGATGGTGGTGGTGGTGGTGATGGTGGTGATGATGGTGGAGGTGATGGTGGTGATTGATGGTGGTGATGGTGAGGGTGGTAGTAATGGTGATGGTGGTGGTGGTAATGACAGTGATGAGGATGGGGTGGTGGTGGTGATGGTGATGGTGGTGATGATGGTGGAGGTGATGGTGGTGATTGATGGTGGTGATGGTGAGGGTGGTAGTAATGGTGATGGTGGTGGTGGTAATGACAGTGATGAGGATGGGGTGGTGGTGGCGGCGATGGTAATTGTGGTGATGGTGGTGATGGTAATGGTGGTGGCAGTGATGATGATAGTGATGCTGAGGATGGGGTGGTGGTGCTGATGGTGGTGGTGGCGGCGATGGTGATGTGAGGATGGAGTGGTGATGGTGGTGATGGTGGTGATGGTGGTGATGGTAATGGTGGTGGCGGCGATGGTGATGATGAGGATGGGGTGGTGATGGTGGTGGCTGGTGATGGTGTGATGCCAGTGATGAGGATGGGGGTGATGGTGGAGATGGTGGTGGCAGTGGTGATGGTGTGATGCCAGTGATGAGGATGGGGGTGATGGTGTTGCCAGTGATGAAGTTGGGTGACGGTGGTGAGACAAAGGTGACACTGATGATGATTAAGAGAACAGATCTGCCTGGTCTGATGACTCACGGCTCCAGGAACAGAGTTGGTGGCCTTTCCTTGGTGCTTTCGGAGCCAGGGGCTGGCTGACGGCTGTCCGTCTGCAGTGGCTCCTCCCACCCTCCAGCTGGAGCGCGGGCAGGGCGCCTTGCTGGCTCTCAGCACTGCTCCGTCCTGCTCTCCTGGCAGCCCCTTCAGCTCGGCGTCTGCTCCCGGCCCGGGCGAGGCCGAGGCATCCTTACTTCAGTGTCTGGTCCAGCCTCTAGCTCAGGGTGGGGTCCGGCTGAGAGGCCAGCACGGTCTGATGTGGAGACAGGAGACGCAGGCACAGCTCCTCAGACTCCGGGAACCCGGTCCCTCTCGGCCTTCCTCACCCCTTCGCCCTGGGGCGGCCCACCGCTCCTGCTGCCGCCGCCGCCGCCCGGCTCACTGGCTGCGGCCGACGGCGGCCACGGCCTCTCCAGAGCGGGCCTCTCGGTCCCGGGGGCTGGGGCCGGACGCAGCTCAGAGGGAGACGCGCTGGTGAATGGCAGGACCGCCTGCCAGACGGCACTGGGCACCTGGAAATCAAACCCACACGCACGCCACCGCCGGTGTCCGGGGGAGACGGAACAGTGCAGCTAGGACATTAGGGGCCATGGGGAGAGCGTGCCACTCCGGAGCGGGAGGGCGAGCGAGTCCCAGCCAGGTTGGAGAGAGGAAGTTACCCGCAGAGAGGGAAGACAGACAGACAAGGCCCCGCGGCCCCAGCTCCCATTCGCTCCGTTCCGGGCCTGGGCGGAGGGCGGCCTGGGCGGCGGGCGGGTGCTGCTGATGTCAGGTGGGTGGTGGGAGTCCCGGGCGTGTCTCCTGCAGGGGGTGGGGGTGGGGGTGGGGGTGGGGTGGGCAGGCTCGGCCTCAGCTCTGGTCCCCAAGGTCATGGTGCCGGCGGCCAACCCCTTCCTCCCGTCTGTGCCCCTCCAGGCCGCCATTGCAGTCCGGCCCGGCCCAGGGTGGTGCAGGGTGAGCTGGCGCCTGGAGGACCTGGTGGCCGGAGGGAGGGGACAGGAGTGTGGTGGGGAAGAGCCTGTGCTGGGGGCGGGGTACCTGGGGACACGAAGAGGCTCCGGGGGGTGCGGGAGGAGGATGTGCCAGGCTCAGCACACGCCCACGCCCACGCTCCCCGAGTCTCGCCAGAGCAGGCAGGCGGATGTGGGTCACTAACGGGGCCGCGACTGCCCCCCCCCCCCCGACCTCCTTAGTGCCCGCAGCCCTGGCACCTGAGGGCCCAGATTTAGACGCGTGAAGAACACTCCCCGGCCTGGGAAGGTGGGCAGCCACTTCCCACACCGGGAGGAAGGCCGGACTCCCCCGCTCCCTCTCCCACTCAGGGGCGTCCGAGCCCAGCCCCACGCCCGCCCTGTGCCCCCGTCCTCCTCAGGCCCTGCCCCCGCCCTGCCGCTCACCTCTCCCTGCTGACCTGAGTGGCTGCCCGGGGCGGGAGCGGACGGGCTGGCCGGAGGGTGGGCGCGTGCTCCAGGCTGGTGTTCGGCTCCCCTGGGCCCCCTGCTCCGCCCCGTCCTCGCCCAGCGGCGACCTGGGGGCTCCCCACGGAGGCGGGCGGCCCAGCACCCTCAGCCCTCGCCTCCCTGCGCGGTCCTGCCTCATCCTCTGTCTCGTCCCTCGGGTCCCAGGCGGCTGCCTGAGCTGGAATGGCCACGTGGCAGCAGGGAGCCCCCTCCCCCGCCTGACCCGCCGCCATGCTGCCCTCTTCGCCTCGCCCCAGGCGCCTACTAGCTCCGGCCGGCTGTCAGGAGCCAAAGCGTCACCTAATCAATTAGCAAGTCTTTCCTCACAGGGGGTCAGCACAGCTTGCCGGCCCGGCCCACGTCCGCCCTCCCCGTCACCCCCACCCCGGCCTGCCGGCTGGGACCCCGGAGGTCCCGGCCCTGGATCCGACCCCCTGGCCCGCGGAGCCCTCTGAGGGTGCAGAGCAGTGCAGCCCCGAGGGGAGGGCCAGGCTGGAGTCACCCCCTGCACGGGGCGGGTGTCGGCCCAGCCGAGGTCAGGCACAGCGGCTGCTCCATCCACACGTGGCTTGCTCTGGAGGCTGCCAGTCTAATGTGTGTGTGGGGTGACTCTGCCCTGTCCCCAGAGGGCTGATGGGGGACAGGGAAGCAACAGGAGGGGGCGGTGCTGGGGGCCCGGCGTCACATCATGGTGGCAAGGACCCTGTGCCGCCGAGGGCACCGCTGCCTGCACCCAGCCGCCCACAGGAACCGGGTCTGGGGCTGGAAACCCACTCACACATTCAGGGCTCAGTGTGTTCACCCACCTCCCCAGGCTCCCCGGCTCCCCGTCCTGGTCAACCTTCCCCACCCCTGACGCTGGCCCCTGACCCTGGTCGCTCTCGGCCCTGGCCTCCCGGCACAGCCCCGGCACAGTTTGGCTGCGGGCGGTGGGGACCCTGCTCCGGCTCAGGGGGAGAGGCAGAGCCCACACTGAGCGCTCAGTGACTCACTCGGCTCCTCCTTGCTTTATTTTTATCCCCATCCAGCCCTATAAATACAGCGATGATCACCAAACAGCCAATACGCCCGGTGCTCCCACCCTGGCGCTGGCCACGGTCACCGGGGAGAGCTCCGAGCAGCACACCCACACGGCGGGGCCCGGGCCAGAGGGGCAGCTGGCGGGGTGGGGGGTGGGGGCAGATTCCAGGCTAGGTTAGGGGTGGGGGGAATCTGGTGAAAAATAAGTCCGTCTCACTCCTCACTGCTCCTGAGGCCACGCTGTGTGCCAGGCACCCCACTGACCCAGGGGCGGCGGGTGGGGGTGGGCAAACACACAGACTGCCCCGAGGAGCCCGTCCCAGTGGGGAGCACCCACGCCTGCAGGGGCGGTGGTTCTGGGATGCGCCCAGCGGCCCTGGTTGCTGGGAGGGGAGAAGCAGGGGCTTGCCGCCCCTGCCTGGCGGGTCTGGGGGTGCACTTGGTCCAGGGCGCCCCCGGCTGCTCGGCTCACCCTCCATGGACATGGAGTGGTGTGTGGTGACAGTCCGGCATCTGCCCTGGCCCAGAGCTCAGCAGCCCCTGAGGGCGGCTGGCAGGTGTCAGGAGGCTGCCCGGACCTGGGCGAGGAGAGGGTGTGGGGATGGCAGCGGCATGGAGGACCTCGGTCAGGTGTGGCTCTGGCCTCCCATGGGCGCTCAGAGATGAGCCCAAGGCCCCCAGGCCCCAGGCCCTGCCTCCCTGTCACCAGGAGGGCGGGCGCGGGCCTGGGGGGAGGCTGGCCTGGGCTGGAGGCCCCCCAGGCAGAGCGGGGAGGGAGGGCGCCCTGCGCTACAGCTGCTCGGTGGAGGGGCCGCCACTGAAGGCACTGGGAGGCCTGGCTCGTGCCAACTTCACCTTCAAGGTCACCTCACGCCGATGGGTGAGGCTAAGGCTGGGCCGTGACAGTAACCGCCTCCCCCATGGCTGGGGCGCTGGGGGGAGAGGGCTCAGAGGCCCAGCTGACCGCCTTCCCAGGCCGTTTCCGGCTACAGGCGCGGGGCACTCTGGGACTTGTAGTCCCTGGCGCACTACGTCCCCGGCGCGTCGGAAGCTCTGCGGCCATTGGCTGACGCCTAGCGCCGGGGGGCGTGGCCTCTGGGTGTTGGGCCTCTCGGAGGGGCCTGCCGTGCGGTTTGGGTGCCGGGCCCGCCCCCGCGCCGCTCCTCCCGCCGGAACGCAGGGTGCGCGCCCCCAGCTGCCCAGGCCCAGGTGAGGCGGCGGCGCGGCGCGGCGGCACCGGCACGGGAGGCCGCGGAGGGTGGGAGTGGGGCGGGGGGCGATCGGCGGGGCGGGGCGGGGCGGGGCGGGACCCAGCCGAGGGCGCGCGCGGCGGCTGCCCCTCCCCGCCCCCGCAGCGGGTTTGAGGCTCAGGTGTCGGGGCGCCGGGCCTTGGAGGGAAAGCCGGGCCCCGTGCGCTCCCTCCGCGCCTCCCTGCCCTCCTCGTCCGGCTCCCTGCGCGCTCCGTGGAGCTGGGTCGGGGGCTGGGGCCTGGCACTCGGGGAGCCGCCAGGAGCTCGGTTTGTGCCTCCGCCAGGGTGGCCTCCAGAGTCTCCATGTCACCCGTGTCGCTGCCCCGGGACTCTGCGCCGTCCATTGTGGTGGCCACTGGCCTCGCGGGGCGCAGGTGTGGGCCTCTGGCCTCTGCAGAAAGTCCGGCACACCAGGCTGCTGAGCGGGGCCTGCAGCTACCCAGCCACCCAGCCTCCTAGCCATCCCAGACACTCAGACACCCAGCCTCCCGGCCACCCAGCCTCCCAGACACTCCAGCCTCCCAGCCACCCAGACACTCCAGCCACCCCAGCCACCCAGCCTCCCAGCCACCCCAGCCATCCCAGCCTCCCAGCCACCCCAGCCATCCCAGACACCCCAGCCATCCCAGACACCCCAGCCATCCCAGACACCCAGCCTCCCAGCCACCGAGCCTCCCAGCCACCCCAGCCATTCCAGACACCCAGACATCCATCCATCCATCCATCCATCCATCCGAGCCACCCAGCCATCCCAGACACCCAGCCACCCAGCCATCCCAGACACCCAGCCACCCAGCCATCCCAGCCACCCAGACACCCATCCATCCATCCATCTATCCGAGCCACCCAGCCATCCCAGCCACCGAGTCATCCCAGCCACCGAGCCTCCCAGCCACCCCAGTCACCCCAGCCAGCCCAGCCTCCCAGCCACCCCAGCCATCCCAGATACCCAGCCACCCAGCCATCCCAGACACCCAGACACCCATCTATCCATCCATCCATCCATCCATCCGAGCCACCCAGCCATCCCAGCCACCGAGTCATCCCACCACCCAGCCATCCCAGCCACCCAGCCTTCCATCCACCCAGCCACTGAGCCTCCCAGCCACCCCAGTCATCCCAGCCACCCAGCCATCCCAGACACTCAGCCATCCCAGCCACCCAGCCACTGAGCCTTCCAGCCACCCAGCCATCCCAGCCACCCAGCTATCCAGCCATCCAGCCTCCCAGCCCACCCAGACACCCAGATACCCAGCCCCAGCCTCCCAGCCCACCCAGACACCCAGATACCCAGCCATCCCAGCCTCCCAGCCACTCAGACATCCCAGCCACCCAGACATCCATCCCAGCCACCGAGACATCCCAGACACCCAGACACCCATCCATCCATCCATCCCAGCCACCCAGCCATCCCAGCCACCCAGCTATCCAGCCACCCAGCCTCCCAGCCATCCCAGCCTCCCAGCCACCCAGACATCCCAGACACTCAGACACCCATACACCCATCCATCCATCCATCCCAGCCACCCAGCCATCCCAGCCACCCAGCCACCCAGACATCCCAGCCACCCAGACATCCCAGCCACCCAGACATCCCAGACACTCAGACACCCATACACCCATCCATCCATCCATCCCAGCCACCCTGACACCCAGACACCCAGACATCCCAGACACTCAGACACCCATACACCCATCCATCCATCCATCCCAGCCACCAAGACATCCCAGACACCCATCCATCCATCCATCCCAGCCACCCAGACATCCCAGACACCCAGACACCTATCCATCCATCCATCCCAGCCACCCAGCCATCCCAGCCATCCAGCCTCCCAGACACCCAGACACCCAGCTGCACCTGCTCCTCCCCTCGGTTCGGCGAAGTAGGCCCTTGGGGACGAACCAGCTGAGACAACATGGAAGCATCCTCTGCACAGTTAGCGTGGCTGTTCTGGCTGAAGGAAGCACAGCCTGACCTGGCGGGAGTTGTGCGCCCCGGGACCTGGGACGCAGCCGTGGAGCGGCCCATCCCCAGCCAAGAACTGCCGACTGCCCCCCGGGAGATTACAGCCTTGTTGGCCACACAGTGGAGTCCCACCCCGCCCCTACCCCGTCCACCTGGCCTGTCCGTCCTGCTCCCCTGTAACCTCCCTCCTCCACCCAGTCAGCGGCGCTTGGGGGTGCAGAGCAGAGGTCTGTGGGGGCCTGCTCTCCCCACGCTGCCGGCAGGACCGGGATAAACGCTCACCCGGGACTCACCCCACCGGGTCTCCGCTCAGCCGGCTGCAGCAGCCATAGGCGGCCGGACCCGGGCTGGCTGGTTACACTTCCTCACCTGCCCGCTCCCGTCCCAGCAGGCCCGGCTCCCTTTCCTGACCCGCCTCTCCCTGCCTGTGTCCGGCTCAGGGCGTCTCCTGTCCAGAGTTTCATATTCCGTCTGCTTTATCTTCAGTCTCTGGGAAGCAGGCTTGGGAGTTGTGCACCCCGAGCGCGGACAGAGTGTTAGGGTGAAGGATACGGATGAAGTTTGTTGGTATTGGAGTGTTCCGGCCTTTTAAAGAAAATTTTTTTTACTGATTTCAGAGCGGAAGAGAGAGGGACAGAGAGACAAATGTCAACGATGAGAGAGAATTGTTGACCGGCCGGCTGCCTCCTGCACGCTCCACACCAGGAATCAAACCGTGACCTTCTGCTTCCTAGGCTGATGCTCAGCCACTGAGCCCTGTGGCCAGGCTGTTTCGGCCCATTTTGGCATGCTTTCCCCTGGCGAGCCTCCCCGGGGTGTGTCCTCGGCAGGAATCTGGCGCCGCAAATGCCTGCTGAGGCCAGTGAAGGTCAGGAGCCAAGTCGTGATTGCAAATGCTGTGGGCGATGAGCAAACCCCGGAAGGCTTCCTGGAGGAAGAGGGGCCTTCGTGGGACCACCAACACTCACTCTCTCCCTCTGTTGGCCTGGATGCCCTGTGTCTAGGCAGCTCACCTGGTGCGTGCTCCTCTGCAGACCCCGTGTGGGTGCCCAGGCACAGGAGTGTGTGGGCTTGGGTGAGCAGGCGTCCCCAAGTCCTTCCCCGCCTCTCCTGAGGGCGAAGGCGGGTCTGGCTCCAGCCACGTCTTCCCTGAATGGCTTCATGGCCCCAGCAGAGAGAGTCCAGTTTCCTGCACATCCCATGTGCTCAGTTTTTAAAAAAATGTTTTTATTGATTTCAGAGAAAGGGAGAGGGGGAGAGAGATGGAAACATCAGTGATGAAAGTCATTGATCGGCCGGCTGCCTCCGGCATGTCCCCACACGGGATGGAGCCCACAACCCAGGCATGTGCCTTGACCGAGAATCACACGGACCTCCTGGTTCATAGGTCAACGTTCAGCCACTGGGTCCTGGTGGCCGGGCACGCCCATGTGTGTCCTCAGCAGCCCGGCCCTCTGCTGGGAGCGCCCTTGGACTCCCGCCCCTGCCAGGCCGTCTCTCCCGGCGCACCAGGCCGACTTTCAAGAACATAATGAATTCCGCCACGGGTAGCAGGCAGCACAGCAGCTGAGCCCTGCAGCCCCCACGCCTCCACAGGAGCGGACACGAGCCAGCCTTGCCCTGGCCGCCAGGTCAGGTGCCCGACCACATGCCGGCGCCCGTGGGGGGGGCTCTTGTTTGTGCCTCTGATTTCCCCGGAGAGAAGGAGGGCCCAGCCCTGACTGCGTTAGCGCCCTGGCAGGGGAACAGGGAGCCCCCGCCCCACGCTCCAGGCAGCATTGCAGCATCTTAACCATAGGGTCCTGACCGGTGTCCCTCATCAGTTCGTCCGGAGCCCCGACCTGCCTGATCCTGCAGCCACCGGGAAGAGGAAGGGGAGGGCGTGATTGCTGACGTGGACTCGGTGGCTCGGGCCTTTGGGGGCTCAGAGGCTGCCCGGGGCACAGCTGCCCTCGCTGAGCGACCCCGGCTCCCACATGCTGTGCCCCGTGGAAGGGCGCGGCCTGCTCTTGAGGGGGCTGGCGGGAGGCAGGAAAGCTGGCCGTTGTCTGCCCGACCCTGGCTAGCCGGCAGGTCAGGCCTGAGTAACTGAACAGTCATGGGCCCGTGGGGACCGCGCGGTTTGCACCCAGGGCTCCGGCCCAGCATCCCCGCTCTGCTGCTCCGGAGGCCGCTGGGAGAGCGTGCACAGGGGACGTGAGTCGGAGGACACCGGTCTCTGCCATAGACTCACTCCGCCTCTCTCCCCCCGCCCCCTTCGCCCCCTTCGCCCCGGGCCGGCTCCTCACGGGAGCCCAGGCCCAGGGCGAGGGAGGCCGGTCGGGAGTGTTTCCCTCGGAGAGGCGGCTGGTCCCGCGGAGGGCCTTGTGCGGGGAGGCGGGTGGCGGTGGGTGGGAAAGCTCACCGCGGGCCGAGGCAGCTTTCCCTGACCCCTGGGGCGGGGGCCGATGCCAGGCTCAGGCATCCTGTGTGCCAAGCCGGGCCCTGGCTGTGGTCTGGGTGCAGGCCGAGCCTGCGCTGCCCGGGAAGCTGGGATGGAGGGGCGCCCGGTTTCCTCAGGGCACTGACCTGGCACCTCTGGCTGCCCCCCGCCTCCACGGGGTCTTGGGCAGGGACGCCTTGTTAAAACCCGCAGCCCCATCCGTCTCCCACGCCCAACTCCCACGCCCAACAGCCCCGGCCTCTTCCTGGGCATGGCTGCCCGGAGCCGGGCCGGGAGCAGCGCCAATGAGCTGGCTCCCCCCGGCCTCCTTCCGCCAGTGCCCGCTGCCCAGCACTGACCCGGGGCGGGGGGTCTCCTGCTGCCTGGTTCCGTCCGGAAAGCCTGCAGTCGCCGGGCGGGCGCTCTGTGCCTGTCACTCGCCTTCACGGTCCTGCTCTCCTTGCCAAGGGCAGCTCTGCGCCCGCTCCCCGCTGTGCCCGGCGCCGCCTCCCCCCTGGCTGCCCGAGCCGCCCCGGGAGTCAGCTCTCCGCCCCCACCCAGCACCCTGCCTGCCCCAGTCCTTCAGGGTGGGCGCCGGGAGGGCCGCAGACCCGCAGCCTCACGTGGCAGGGCCCTCGTGGCGTCGTCACTGGTCTGTGCCGGCTCCCGCGCACTCTGCCTGGGTGTCCTCTGTCCTGGGGGCCTGGGGCAGGAAGAGCACCCAGTGGGTGCTCAGCGCACAGTCGGGGCTCCAGCTCGCAGCTGGAAGGGACTGTTGCTCAGCCAGCGGCACCGTTTGCTGGGCCTTTGAGGGGCAGAGGCACCTCCACACCCCAGGTGCCCGCAGGGGCGAGGGGCACTGCCCGCCCGGAGGGGGGCTGAGCAGGTGCTCCGAGCCAAAGGGAGCTGGCCCCGGACTCTCCCTGAGGGAGGGGCCCAGGCCTGCAGCTCCCTCCTCAGGCTCCAGGTTGGAGAGCTGGCAGGGCAGCGGGCACGTGTGGGGCCCGGGGGTGTTGCCACGGCCACTGACAGCAGGGCTGGGAGCAGAGCCCCATGGCCCCCCTTCCCGAGCCCCCCCCCCCCCCCCCCCCCCCCCGCCATCTTCCTCCAGGGCCCGTGCAGGGAGGCGGGGCCTGCTGGCTGGCCGTGTTCCAGGGGAGGAGCCTGGGAGGTCAGTCAGGTTGACGATGACCTTTGCCCCAGCAGCCTCAGCATGGACGGCGCCCCTGGTGTCTGTCATTGGGTTTAATGCTCTGAGCTGCCTGTCCGCAGACGTGCAGTGTCAGAATAACCCCTGCCCCCATGTCCCCTGGACCGTGTCCCCATGGTGCCTGCAAAGCCTAGTTCAAGTTCACCTGGGGCTTCCCACCACCCTGCCCCGCCTCTCCTTCACGGTGAACGAGTCTGAGGTCTTGTTTTTAAAAAATGTATTTTGATTTCAGAGGGGAAGAGAGAGACAGAAACGTCAGTGATGAGAGCATCATCGATTGGCTGCCTCCTGGGCGCCCCCCACTGGGGATCGAGCTGTGATCTCCTGGTTCATAGGTGACACTCGACCACTGAGCCACGTCGCCAGGCCGAGGCCGCCCTCCGTGGCCCGTCCGGGGCAGCTCCCAGCCTCTGCTTCCCGAGGCGGCGCCTTCAGACGCGAGGCCTCCGGGAGACGCCTCCGGGTGTCCGGCTCCCACCGCAGCGGGCGTTGGCGGGCGGGCGGGTCACAGCCGGGGCCGTGGCCTGGGCGCCTGGCGCCAGGAGGCCGTACGTGGCTGTTTGTCGCCGGTGCCGTGGCGGAGGCGGCCTGCCAGGCGTCTCCTCGGCGGTGGCTGCTTCCGCTGTAGCTGACAAGCCCCCGATGGCGCGCGAGGCTGTGACTGTTACTCACGGCGCCCACCGCGGGCTCCGCCTGCGTCCCTGCTGTGCGGACGCACTCCGTCCTCCTCCCAGGCCGGCCTCTGCTCCGAGGGGCTGCCCACTCCCCTCTTCCTCGCCGTGGGCGATTCTGCTCAGACAGCCTGGGCCGCCCCCTCCCCCGTGGCCCGTGTGCGTCCGAGAGGTCCCCCTGTTCCCCGGCCCCTGACCCCCTCCTGGAAGCAGCGTGCTCGGAGCAGGCGCAGGTCCTGTTCCCGGGTCTGTGCCGGCGCTCCCTGCCGTGGGCATCACAGCGTCTGAGAGGACAGGGGTGAGGCCGTGCACCACCCACACGCAGCTGGTGTGAGCCGTGTGCCTGGTGGTCACGCGTGGCCACGCCTGCCCTGTCTGTGTGAGATGTAACTGAGTCACACACGTGCCTCCGGGCTCCACTGAGGGGGAGGGGGGGAGGAGGGGAGGGGGGAGGGGAGGGAGAGGGGAGGGGAGGAGGGACTGTACACAGCGGGGAGCAGGTGGTCCCCTCTCCGTAGCTCCTGGCCCAGCAGGAGGACAGTGCGAGCGGACCTGAGACCGGGTGCCTGGTGTGGGTGCGCTGTGGAGGGAGGGTGGAGGAGGGAGGTGGCGGGGGAGGACCGGTTCCAGAGGAGCAGAGTGAGCGGCGCCCCTCAGCCAGGACCATGGACAGGTCTCAGCCGCACACTCCCTCTGCAGCAGGACTGGCAGCAGCGGCTCACCGGCCTCTGACGGGGCCTGGGTGGGTGCCGCTCCCCCTGCCTGGGCCCTGGGCAGCCAGGGTGCAGGTTTGACCGGAGAGCCGGCTGCCAGGCCGTGGTGAGGGCGGCCGTGGATGGGGGCCGTGGGGCTGGCAGGGCGGGCCTCGCCTGGGAGGTGCTGGCGAGGGTGAGTGGCGCCGGTGAGCAGTGGTTCTCACCGGGAAGCTGGTCTGTCCCTCCCCGGCGGGCGGCCGGGCAGCATGGGCCGCCAGCTTGGTCTGTCCGGGGCCGAGGCCGACGCCGAGGGGCCACCCCTGACCCAGGGGTCCAGGCCTCGCTGTGGCCTGTGGCCTGGAGGGGATGGCAGTGAACACAGCGCCCAGTGGCTGTGGGGGTGGGGGCAAGGCCAGGAGGCCGTCCTGGTCCCTGAAGGACAGGAGGCCTGACCCCCAGGCCCCGTCCCATCCGCCCTGGCCCGGAGCCCCGGCCGGGCCCTCGAGGCAGGAGCTGTGCCGGCCCAGACCCTGGGCCCCTCGCGCCCTCTGCTGCCCTGCGCTCAGGTCTGGCCGCCCAGGGCCGGCGGCTCCCTCCCGGCTGTGGGGACGGTGCCAGGGGAGCCGGCGCCAGCCGGGGGCACGAGGCCGGAGGAGGCGGCGGCCGGGGCGGCCACGGAAGCTGCACCGCAGGAGGGTTCCTGGGAGCGACATTGTGCCGGCCCGGTGTTTGGAAGGGGGGGGGGGCAGGCAGGGCCGCTCCTGGCACCCAGACGGCCTGGCCCTGCGAGGCTCCTGCCCTGGCCTGCGGCCCCGCCCCCTCCCCGGCCTCTGCCGCTGCCTCGCTGCCTGCCGGGGGCAGCTGGTGAGGGTCCCGGCTTGACCTGGCTGGGGCGGTGAGGGGGCAGCTGGAAGCCGAGGGCGAGGCCTCAGCCTGGGGAGGGTCCCCGATCTCGGAGCTGGAGCCAGGCTGCGGCTTGCTCTGGGGAGGGGGGTGGAGCTGTGTCTGAGGGTCCTGCTGGGTGGGGGCTGTTCCCGTGTCTCTGCACCAGACCGCGGGCAGGAGGAGCCGAGTGGTGGGCACGGGAGGCCGGGATGGAGACAGCGGCGTGGGCGTGGGCGTGGGCGTGGGCGGGTGGCAGCCGTGGGCCCTGAGCACTAACTCCCGCTCCCCTTTCCTCCAGCCCCGCGGAGGCGGCCGCCGGGAAGATGTCCTACGGATCCATCACCGGCGGCGGGCGGGGGAGCCGCGGCCCTTTCGGGGGGCCCTCCCGCCAGGGCTACCAGCCCCTCGGTACGAGGGGGGTGGAGGGGGCAGTGGGCCTCCGTCGCGTCCTGCTGTGCCGTGGCCGTAGCGGGGTTTGTCCTGTGGCCTGGGACCCGGTGACCAGGCCGGGGCGGGGCTGCGGTGTGGGGCCGAGTCCTCCCCCCACCCCCGCCCCGTTCGGCTGCGTCTGACCCCCCTCATGGCGCCCACTCTGGCCCCAGCCCCCGGACCTGTGCAGGGAACCTGTGGTTCGCTTTGTTCTGTGGCTGCTTTCTCTCTGTGTGCGGCTCCCAGTGCGTGTGTGTGCATCTCCCAGTGTGTGTGTGTGCGTGTGCGCAAGTGTGCATGTGAGGTGCATGTGCACGTGTGCGCATGCATGTGTGTGCATGTGTGTGAGGGTGGGGTGAGGTGTGTGTGCGTGTGTGTGTGTGTGTGTGTGTATGTGTGTGTGCGTCCTACTCTGTGCATGTGGCAATGAGAGTGTGCCAGGGTGGCTGCCACGTGTGAGGTGGTCCCGGAGGCCCGCGGGGGTCTCCCAAGCGCAGTGAGGCCCGTGGGCACTGGGGCCGAGGGCCGGGCAGGCTCCCTCGCTGTCAGGGAGGCAGAGAGCAGCATGTGCAGGCTCCGTGGGGCCTGGCTTCCCATGTCCCTTGCGTGTGCCTGGCGGGGGCTGCTGGCCAGGTCCCAGGTGTGGCCTTGCTTCTCCCCTGCACTCAGCGGCTCCGTCTCCATCTCCCCACCCGGGGGCCGGCTGGGAGGGGGCCTGGGCCTCCGGCTCCGGAACGGTCCGCGCTCCGTGGTGCTGGGCCCACGGGCATGCAGTGAACGTGCCCCCGCTCCCCCGTCTCCTCGCAGCCACCCAGCTGGACCCGCGCGACCTGCAGGGGCTGTTCCAGGAGGCGGCGGCCGGCGTCTCCCGCATCGGCGCCAGCGGTGAGTGCCCGCCGGCCTGCCTGGGCCCAGCATGCATTGGGGCTGAGGGGACACGGCGCCCGTGGCCTCTCCCCGGACTGGACTGCCTGCAGCCCGGGCTCGGTCTGCGGTGGAGCACAGGCGGTCAGTGCCCCCCTCCCGACCCCCTGCTGACCCCGTGGCTCCACCCGTGCACGTGCTCCTGCAGAGGCCCTGCCCTCAGGCCTGGCCCTGGACGGCCCTGGGAGCAGGGCCTCAGAGCCCCCGCTGGCCGGGCCTGCTCCCTGGGCCCCGGACTGGGTGGGGGTGAGTCACGCCCGAGGCTCCTGTAGACCCGGGACCGGGCGGGAGGGTGTCTGCCGGCCCAGGAGCCGTGGGCGAGGAGGAGAGCGGGAGAAGCCCCCTCCCGCCTCAGGACGGCCCTGCGCAGGCCTGACCCAGCCGGGGGGGTGGGGGGGCGAGGCCGGTCCTGCTGCCCGCTGTCCTGGCAGGTGCTCAGTCACACGGACGTCTCCCGGCCTGGCCACCGTGCCCTCGGCTGCCGGCTGCCTCTCGGGTGGGGCCCGCAGCCTGGAGTTGGGCATCCCTGCAGGGACCTCTGTCCTCACCCGGTCCCCGTCTCTGCAGCGACCTCCTTGGAGCAGGGCCTCCGGTCCCTGGGGACGCCGAGGGACACCCGGGAGCTGCGGGACAGCCTGTGAGTGCGCCTGTGCGGCCACGGCCACGGCCACGGCCACGGCCACATGAACGCCCCAGGCCGGCTCACATGGCTCGCCAGTCACGTGACCCCGCAGGGCCAGCCCGCCCCGTTCCTCATTCCTCCGAGGCCCCCGCCCCAGCTCCCGCCCTGCTGACCCCAGGGCCTTTCCCCAGGGAGGGCTGGAGGCTGGGCACCCAGGGGTGGGGTGGGCCCGAGGGTCCTGCGAGGGCGGGCTGGTGTTGCACGGGCTCCGTGACCTGCAGTCACTGTGTCCCCCTCTCCCTTCCCTCTGCTTCCTGCTCCCCGTTTCCGTCCATCTGTCTGTCCTGTGGCCCACCTGGTGCTCTCACCCTTCCCTGACCCACGCCTTCCTTCCTGTTTCCTCGCCGGCCTTCCTCTCCCCTGTCCGCTCTGTCCCCTGCCTCCCTGCCGGTCCCGCCCACCTCACCCTGCCGCCTCAGGCACCTGGCGCAGCAGGAGACCAACTGCACCATCGCCAGCAGCACCAGCGTGGTGAAGCGGCTGTCGGAGCTGCTGCGGGGCTGCTCCCGGGTATGTCCTGAGGCGGGCGGGAGGCAGGCCGGCGAGGCGTCCTGTGGGCAGGGAGGGAGGGCAGCCATGCTGGGCAGGTCTGTGTGCACAATGCTCAGGCTGGCTCGAGGCATATAGTGCCAATGCCAAGGCTCAGCTGCACTGGGAGTTAGGGTGCCCACGGTGATTGTGGTGAGTGTCCATGGTGATCCTGGCTGTGCCTGGAACCGAGGTGGTGGTGGTGGTGGAGGTGGAGGTGGAGGTGATGGAGGTGGAGGTGGAGGTGGAGGTGATGGAGGTGGAGGTGATGGAGGTGATGGTGGAGGTGATGGAGGTGGTAGTGGAGGTGATGGAGGTGTTGGAGGTGGAGGTGGAGGTGGAGGTGATGGAGGTGGAGGTGATGGAGGTGATGGTGGAGGTGATGGAGGTGGTAGTGGAGGTGATGGAGGTGTTGGAGGTGATGGTGGTGGAGGTGATGGTGGTGAAGGTGATGGAGGTGGAGGTTGAGGTGGTGAAGGTGATGGAGGTGGAGGTGGAGGTTGAGGTGGTGGAGGTGATGGAGGTGGAGGTGGAGGTGGAGGTGGTGGAGGTGGTGGTGATGGTGGAGGTGATGGAGGTGTTGTAGGTGATGGTGGTGGTGGAGGTGGAGGTGATGGAGGCGGCGAGACTGGGATGGATGGAGGAGGGCGCAGTGCAGCCGCTGCCAGGAGGGCACAGGAGTGTGGGACCTGAAGCTGCAGGGAGGCAGGGCTGGGAGGCCCAGGTGTTCATGGCTTTCTCTTTCTCTCTCTCTCTCTCTCTCTCTCTCTCTCTCTCTCTCTCTCCAGCAGGAGCGGCTTCAGCTGGACCACCTGAAAGCCCAGCTCTCGGATGCCATCCAGCGCTACGGCGCGGTGCAGACGGTGAGGCCCGTGGCGAGGGTGCTGGTGGGCGGTGCTGGGCCTCGCGCCCTCGGGCACCCACGCTGCCATCCTCGCGCCCGGGTTGGGCTTGTGCGGTCCCCACCCCACAGCAGAGGAAGGGCCCGCAGGGCATGTGCAGGGAAGGGTGGGCCCTCCGGTGCCCCCAGGAGGTGTCCGCATGACGGCCTCCCAGCAAGTGGGGCGTCAGCTGTTGCCGCTCCTGATGGCGGGGGGCCAGGCTGTCCCACGGCCCTTGTCCTCGGCTGGCGGCCGCGCCCTCCCCCGGCGGCCATGCCCGCTGCCAGGCATCGCCCGGGGACCCTGTCTGTCTGACCGTCGCTCCTCTCCTGCCTCCTGTTCTTCCCGGCCCCGTGCTGTCTCCCTCAGGAAATCGCGGAGAAGTCCCGAGCTCTGCTTCCCGCGGCGCAGAGGGCTGGCCGGCAGCAGGTGGGTGCGGGGCCTTGCCATGGCACGGCGGAGGGGGCCACAGGGTCCTGCTGGTGCCAGGGCAGAGCAGGGGGGGCTGAGGGCAGGGCCTTGGTCGCAGGGGTCGGCCTGGACAAATGGCCTTTCCAATAGTTGGCCTGCGTGGCTCAGTGGTGGTTTGTCAGCCTGTGAACAGGAGGTCAAGTACGAGGCCTGACCCCCAGTGAGGGGCATGCAGGAGGCAGCCGATCCATGATTCTCTCGCATCACGGATGCCTCTCTCTCTCTCTGCCTTCCTCTCTGAACTAATAAAAACATGAAATAAAAGTTGGAATTGGACCTTAGGTCTGTGCCGGGGCCTGGCCGGGGCCGTTGCTGGCAGTGCCAGTCAGACCTGCCCTCCCCTGAGGAGGGCGAGGGGCAGCCAGGGCGGGAGTGTCACTGGAGGCCCAGCCCCGTGGCCGGCAAACTCATCAGTCAGCAGAGCCAGAAACCAACAGCACAGCGACCGACATTCCTTTGGGAGCCACATTTTTTAAACTTCTAACGCCACCTCTTCAACACAGACCCGCCCAGGCCGTGGTGTTTTGTGGAAGAGCCACACTCAAGGGGCCAGAGAGCCGCATGTGGCTCGCGAGCCGCGGTGTGCCGACCCCTGGCCTGGATGAACGAGGGCGGGGGCGAGGGATTGGGGCGGAATAGCGGCTGACGAGGTGGCGGTTGAGAATTTTCCAGAAGTGTTCAAACGCTTCAGCTCCACGGCGAATAGGATAAATGTGTCCTGTCACGTCGTCATAAAACTCTGAACGAGAAAGGCAAAAATAAAGTCTTAGAGCCGACGAAAGTCTCAGGGGGAAGTCACGTTCTGCAAAAAGGAGCACTGAGGCTTACATCTGACTCCTCGAGGGACCGGGAGCCGGAGCCGGGGGAAGAGCCCCAGCCTGAGGGAGCACCACCAGTGTCCTCCCCCGACCAGGAAGCCGGCCGCAGGAAGACTGTGAACTTGACTTTGTTAAGGCCAGCACGCCTTGAGAGGGCGGGGAGGCGGCCCGCAGAGCGAGCGGAGGTGTCTGCACAGCTCTGTCTGAGAAGGACGCACAGCGTCTGTCCACACAGAAGGCTGACATGCAAAGTGTCCCCTCGGGAGTTCGACCGGGAGACCGGAAGTGCGACCGCTCGCTCTGACGTGCGCTGACGAGGGGGGCGATGCGGGACGAAGGCGGGCCCCGGCAGGCAGCCAGAGGAAGGCCCGATGGGCCCCCATCGCCGGCCCAGCCTGGGGACCCTGCCTCTAACGTGACGGATCAGTAAGGACGAGGCGGCCCAGCCTGCGGCCGGCACATGGTGGGATGTTGGAAGGGGGCAAAGTGGACCCCCACCTCCTCGCACCCCCAAAGTGACAGACATGGCAGTGCCTCGGGGACGAGGCTGGGCGCCTGGAAGTCCCTGCAGTGTGGGTGGAGAGGCCGTGGTTCCCGGGACACGGACACGCCGAGCCGTGTCTTGCCGTGCCTTACCGTGATGGCAGCTCCTCCCCAGGCAGTGCTCCCGGAAGCCGTGCCGCCCCGCTGCGTCCCGTAGAATTCCTTAGAGGACCTCGGCGCTGCTCTGAGGGGGGGGGGGAATTTCCTGGAGTCCCGTCACTGTGCCCGGCGAGGTGACCCTCTGCCCCCACGCGGGTCTGCCCCCCCCCCCGGCCCCGGGGCCTGTGTGGCCGGCGGTCCAGCAGGAGCGGGGCGGGCGGGGGGGGGTTGTTGCCCGGAGCCCGAGGCCCGTGCCCCTCGCTGATCCTGCGAGGGGTGTCCTCCGGCCCCGGAGTGACCCTCGGGGTCGTCTTTCTCACGGGAAAGGACGCCCCTGCGTGGGGCCCGGCCTGGGCCGGGGCGGGCTGCGGGAGAAAGCCGCCTTTGTGCCGCCGGAGCTGGAAGCGCATCACAGGCTCCGCCGGGCGCGCAGCTCCCACCGCTGAGCCGAGCCCCCAATCGGGCCTTTGTGCCGAGAAGAAGGGCGCTTTCTGGGCCGCCAGGAAGGGAGGGCTGCGGGGCTCAGCCAGCCTCCCGCCGCCGGCTCCTGTCCTGGGCCCGCCCCCTCCCCAGGCCCCGCTCCTGTCCTGGGCCCGCCCCCTCCCCAGGCCGGGCTCCTGCCCTGGGCCCGCCCCCTCCCCAGGCCGGGCTCCTGCCCTGGGCCCGCCCCCTCCCCAGGCCGGGCTCCTGCCCTGGGCCCGCCCCCTCCCCAGGCCCGGCTCCTGCCCTGGGCCCACCCCCTCCCCAGGCCCTGCTCCTGTCCTGAGCCCGCCCCCTGTCCCCCCCTCTTGTCCTGAGCCCGCCCCCTGTCCCCCCCCTCTTGTCCTGAGCCCGCCCCCTGTCCCCCCCCTCTTGTCCTGAGCCCTCCCCCTGTCCCCCCCTCTTGTCCTGAGCCCTAGCCCTGTCCCCCCCCTCTTGTCCTGAGCCCTCCCCCGCCTGCCCGGCTCCTGTCCTGAGCCCTCCCCCTGTCCCCCCCTCTTGTCCTGAGCCCTCCCCCTGTCCCCCCCTCTTGTCCTGAGCCCGCCCCGCCTGCCCGGCTCCTGTCCTGAGCCCTCTCTCCCCCCCGCCCCCCAGCCCCGGCCCAGCTCCTGTCCGGCCTGCTGGCCTCGGTCACTGCAGGGCAGCAGCTCTTGTGGACTTCCTGGTGTCCGTGCCCAGCAAGCACATCTGGACGCTGGGCTCCCGCCGTCCGGGCACTGTCCCCAGGCCCGGCCGGCCGCCTTCCCGTCCCAAACGTGCGGGAAGAACTGGACCCTGGATCGTGTTCCTGCGCGGGGCCGGGGTGGGGAGGGGGGAGGGGGAGGGGGGACAAGCATGGCCGTAGCAGTTGCCCAGGGGACCTGCTCACCATCGCAGGCCCCAGGCTGAGGGGTCCCTGACCCCTGGAGGCATCACCGGGAGGTGGGGCCCGGGCGGCTCTGGGGCCTCTGGGTGGCCCCGGCCGAGAGGCCGGGTGCTGCGGCCAGGCTCGGGGTGGCCAGAGCCTGGCGGGCTGCGGGGCGGGGCAGGGCGGTGTCCGCCTGCTTCTGACCCTCCGCCCGCTCACAGCAGCCCCATGCCCAGCGGCTCTGCAGGGACAAACCCCAGCACAGGGAGGAGGCTCAGGCCCACTGCCCGCCAGGGGGTGGGGGACGGGGATAGGGGGTGAGGTGGGGGATGGGGGGGTGGGGGATGGGGGACGGGGATAGGGGGTGAGGTGGGGGATGGGGGGTGGGGGATGAGAGGTGGGGGGTGGGGGACGGGGATGGGGGTGAGGTGGGGGATGGGGTGGGGTGGGGGGTGGGGTGGGTTGGGGGATGGGGGTGGGGTGGGGAACAGGGATAGGGGGTGAGGTGGGGGATGGGGGTGGGGTGGGGGATGGGGGTGGGTTGGGGGGTGGGGTGGAGGATGAGAGGTGGGGGATGGGGGATGGGGGTAGGGGGTGGGGTGGGGGATAGGGGGTGAGGTGGGGGATGGGGGGGTGGGGGATGAGAGGTGGGGGGTGGGGGACGGGAGTAGGGGGTGAGGTGGGGGATGGGGGTGAGGTGGGGGATGGGGGTGGGGGGTGGGGGACGGGGATGGGGGGTGAGGTGGGGGATGGGGGTGGGGTGGGGGATGGGGTGGGGGGTGGGGGGTGGGGTGGGGGATGAGAGGTGGGGGATGGGGGATGGGGGTAGGGGTGGGGTGGGGGATAGGAGGTGAGGTGGGGGATGGGGTGGGGGATGGGGGTGGGTTGGGGGGTGGGGTGGGGGATGAGAGGTGGGGGATGGGGGATGGGGTAGGGGGTGGGGTGAGGATAGGGGGTGGGGTGGGGGATGGTGTGGGGGGTGGGCATGGGGGTGAGGTGGGGGAACAGGCTCCTGAGGCGCCCGGTGGGTGAGCCGAGGCCGCCTGGTGGAGGAGGCAGTGCAGGCCAGGGCCCGCCCGTGGCAGGCGAGTGCCCAGTAAAGGTAACGCCTGTCGTCACCACAGAGCCCCTGGGCGCGCCAGGAGGAGAGTGTCCGTGGGGGCGACAGCGAGCGGCCGGGCCCGGCGCAGGCGCTGGTCCCCGAGCTCACGGAGCAGGACCTGGAGGCCGTGCGGCTGCGCGAGGAGGCCGTCCTGCGGTTGGAGGTGAGGCCTGTGCATGTGCGTGTGTGTGCGTGAGCGCTGTGTGTGTATGTGTGTGTGTGCACCGTGTGCGTGAGCGCTGTGTGTGTGTATGTGTGCGTGTGCACCGTGTGCGTGAGCGCTGTGTGTGTATGTGTGCGTGTGCACCGTGTGCGTGAGCGCTGTGTGTGTATGTGTGCGTGTGCACCGTGTGCGTGAGCGCTGTGTGTGTATGTGTGCGTGCGTGCACCGTGTGCGTGAGTGTCGTGTGTGTGCGTGTGTGTATGTGTGCGTGCGTGCACGGTGTGCGTGAGCGCTGTGTGTGCATGTGTGTGCGTGTGCACCGTGTGCGTGAGCGCTGTGTGTGTGTATGTGTGCGTGTGCACCGTGTGCGTGAGCGCCGTGTGTGTGTGTGTGTGCGTGTGCACCGTGTGCGTGAGTGCCGTGTGTGTGTGTGTGTGTGTATGTGTGTGTGTGCACCATGTGCGTGAGCGCTGTGTGCGTGTGTGTATGTGTGCGTGTGCACCGTGTGCGTGAGTGCCGTGTGTGTATGTGTGCGTGTGCACCGTGTGCGTGAGCGCTGTGTGCGTGTGTGTATGTGTGTGTGTGCACCATGTGCGTGAGCGCTGTGTGTGCGTGTGTGTGCATGCGTGCAACGTGTGTGTGTGTTCCTGCGTGCACCGTGTGCGTGAGCGCTGTGTGTGTGTGCGTGAGTGCCGTGTGTGTGTGTGTGTGTATGTGCGTGCGTGCACCGTGTGCGTGAGCGCTGTGTGTGTGTATGTGTGCGTGTGCACCGTGTGCGTGAGCGCCGTGTGTGTGCGTGTGTGTATGTGTGTGCGTGCACCGTGTGCGTGAGCGCCGTGTGTGTGCGTGTGTGTATGTGCGTGCGTGCACCGTGTGCGTGAGCGCTGTGTGTGTGTATGTGTGCGTGTGCACCGTGTGCGTGAGCGCCGTGTGTGTGTGTGTATGTGTGCGTGTGCACCGTGTGCGTGAGCGCTGTGTGTGTGTATGTGTGCGTGTGCACCGTGTGCGTGAGCGCCGTGTGCGTGCGTGTGCGTATGTGTGTGTGTGCACCGTGTGCGTGAGTGCTGTGTGTGTGCGTGTGCGTATGTGTGTGTGTGCACCGTGTGCGTGAGCGCTGTGTGTGTGTATGTGTGTGTGTGCACCGTGTGCGTGAGCGCTGTGTGTGCGTGTGTGTGCGTGTGCACTGTGTGCGTGAGCGCTGTGTGTGCGTGTGTGTGCGTGTGCACTGTGTGCGTGAGCGCTGTGTGTGCGTGTGTGTGCATGCGTGCAACGTGTGTGTGTGTTCCTGCATGCACCGTGTGCGTGAGCGCCGTGTGTGTGTGCGTGTGTGTATGTGTGCGTGTGTGTGTGCGTGTGCACTGGACCCTGTGTTCCCTGTGGTGGCTGCCGCCTGAGCTGCAGGGGCCCTCCCTGCCCAGGGCCCTGCACCAGTGAAGGGGGAGTTCCTACTGCCTGTCCCGGGGCCATGCGCTCCGTCCTGCACTCTCCGTCCGAGGCTGTTGGTCCGCGCCCTCTGCCTCTGCTGAGCACACAGCCCGAGCGGGGCCTGGCGTCCTCGGCTCTGACCGGAGCGGCGCCGGCTCTGCGCTGCCCATGCTGGCCTCCTCCCTGGATGAGGAGGACCCGGGAGGTCACGCACCCACGCCAGGCCGGGCAGCGCCTCCCGGGGCCTGGCTCTTCCTGCCTGCGGGCCGGGCAGTGCCGTCTCCCGGGAAGGACAGCAAGAGGAGAGGGCGCCTGCCCGACCATCGCCCACGCGCAGGCTGACCGGGCTGTCCTGCCCGCACACCGGCGCCCGCACGGCCGCTCCCCTGCGTCCGCCAGGCCGGCTCACCGCTCACCTGGAGCTCGGCTCCCTGCCCCGGAGCCGGAGCCGGAGCGCCTGTCACCTGACCCAGGTGCCGCTCGGAGCCCCAGCTGCTCGGTTGCCATGGCTCCCTGGCAGCTTAGGAGGGAGAGGCCGGTGCGGTGGCTCTGGCTGAGGTCTGGCTGATGCAGATCATGCAGTTCGTGCCCCGTTAGCCGGACCACGTCCTGTGGGCGGAGGGCGGCCAGGACCCGTGATGAGCGGAGAAAGCGCAGTGGTGTTTCGGAGCGCGCCCAGGCTTTCTGTGTCCGGGCAGGTGCTGGGAGCCGGAGGAGCGCCAGCCGGCTCCACGCCGGCTCACGCCCGTCCCTGGCGCCCTCGGCACCGCGGCCAGGGCTGCCGGCGGCGTCGGCCGGCTCTCGCAGCACTCGGTGCCGGCCCGGCAGCTCACGGCACCGTCTCCTTTCCCCAGAGCGACCTGCTGGACGTGACCCAGATCCTCAAGGACTTGGCCTCCGTGGTGTCGGAGCAAGGAGAGGCCATCGGTGGGTGCCAGGCCGCCCAGCCACCCGCCCCCGTCCGGCCCTCGCCCAGGCGTGGGCACCCGCCCCCGGAGGAGCCAGGCCAGGGCGGGTCCCGGGCTCCCAGCGGTCTCCCCGCCTAGGAAATGGGGGGCAGGGGCCCACACAGGAGGGCCACCGTTCTGCTGGACGTCCTGGCCCCCATGGCCTGGGCTCCCCGCCTGGGGCTGCACGAGGGAGGGCAGGGGCGGGAGTGCTGGGGGGCGCCTGAGGGGCTCGTTCTGCTGCTGGTCCTGTGGCCTCTTCTCAGGAAGGGTGTGTGTGTGTGTGTGTGTGTGTTGGGGGGACTCAGTGCCACTCAGTGTGGGAGGGCAGAACTGCCCGGGGGCAGGGACTACATCCTGCTGTTTTCAGTTCCCTCCCTCGAGGGCTCCCACACGGAGTGCTCCCCACACGGAGTGTTCCCCCCACGGAGTGTTCCCCCCACGGAGTGCTCCCCACACTGAGTGTTCCCCCCACGGAGTGTTCCCCCCACGGAGTGCTCCCCACACTGAGTGCTCCCCTCATGGAGTGCTCCCCACACGGAGTGCTCCCCACACGGAGTGTCCCCCAAAGGGAGTGTCCCCACACGGAGTGCTCCCCACACGGAGTGCTCCCCACACGGAGTGTTCCCCCCACGGAGTGCTCCCCCCACGGAGTGCTCCCCCCACGGAGTGTTCCCCCCACGGAGTGCTCCCCACACGGAGTGCTCCCCACACGGAGTGTTCCCCCCACGGAGTGCTCCCCACACGGAGTGTTCCCCCACACGGAGTGTCCCCCAAAGGGAGTGCTCCCCACACGGAGTGTCCCCCAAAGGGAGTGTTCCCCACACGGAGTGCTCCCCACACGGAGTGCTCCCCACACGGAGTGTCCCCCAAAGGGAGTGTCCCCCACACGGAGTGCTCCCCACACGGAGTGTCCCCCAAAGGGAGTGTCCCCCACACGGAGTGCTCCCCACACGGAGTGCTCCTCCCCACACGGAGTGTCCCCCAAAGGGAGTGTCCCCCACACGGAGTGTCCCCCAAAGGGAGTGTCCCCCACACGGAGTGTCCCCCAAAGGGAGTGTTCCCCACACGGAGTGTTCCCCACACTGAGTGGCCCCCCACACGGAGTGTTCCCCACATGGAGTGGCCCCCCACACGGAGTGCTCCCCCCCCCCCCACATAACCGCTCCTGTTGTCTGGTTTGCAGATAGCATTGAAGCCAGCCTGGAGGCGGCGTCCGCCCACACCGAGGCCGCCAGTGAGCTCCTGGCAGGAGCCGGCCGGCACCACGTAAGTCCGAGCACAGCCGAGGCCTCGGCCCATCGCGTCCCAGAAGCCTCAGGCCCCAGCCTCCCAGGGAGGGAAACCCCAGGCTGCATTTCTGAGCCCAGGGCTGGCATGAGGGCGGGGAGGGGGCGGGTCTGCGCCTCCAGGGTGGTCTCACTGCCTCCTTCGGTGTCACCCGTGGAGGGTGCAGGGCCTGCCGGCTGTGGGAATGTTGGGGGTGGATGGATGGGGGAGACGGGGGGATGGGGGACGGGTGGATGAGAGGAAGGAGGAGGTGGACGGGTGGATGAGGGGGGATGGGTGGGAGGGATGGGTGGATGGGGGATGGGTGGATGAGAGGAAGGAGGAGGTGGACGGGTGGATGAGGGGGGATGGGTGGGAGGGATGGGGGGATGGGGGATGGGTGGATGAGAAGAAGGAGGGGGTGGGTGGGTGGATGAGGGGGGATGGGTGGGAGGGATGGGTGGATGGGGGATGGGTGGATGGGGGATGGGTGGATGAGAGGAAGGAGGTGGACGGGTGGATGAGGGGGGATGGGTGAGAGGGATGGGGGGATGGGGGATGGGTGGATGAGAAGAAGGAGGGGGTGGATGAGGGGGGATGGGTGGGAGGGATGGGTGGATGGGGGATGGGTGGATGAGAGGAAGGAGGAGGTGGACGGGGGATGAGGGGGGATGGGTGGGAGGGATGGGTGGATGGGGGATGGGTGGATGAGAGGAAGGAGGAGATGGGTGGGTGGATGAGGAGGGATGGGTGGGAGGGATGGGGGGGATGGGGGATGGGTGGATGAGGGATGGGTGGATGAGAGGAAGGAGGTGGACGGGTGGATGAGGGGGGATGGGTGAGAGGGATGGGGGGGATGGGGGATGGGTGGATGAGAAGAAGGAGGGGGTGGATGAGGGGGGATGGGTGGGAGGGATGGGTGGATGGGGGATGGGTGGATGAGAGGAAGGAGGAGGTGGACGGGTGGATGAGGGGGGATGGGTGGGAGGGATGGGTGGATGGGGGATGGGTGGATGAGAGGAAGGAGGAGATGGGTGGGTGGATGAGGGGGGATGGGTGGGAGGGAGGGGTGGATGGGGGATGGGTGGATGAGAGGAAGGAGGAGGTGGACGGGTGGATGAGGGGGGATGGGTGGGAGGGATGGGGGGATGGGGATGGGTGGATGGGGGATGGGTGGATGAGAGGAAGGAGGAGATGGGTGGGTGGATGAGGGGGGATGGGTGGGAGGGATGGGTGGATGGGGGATGGGTGGATGAGAGGAAGGAGGGGGTGGGTGGGTGGATGAGGGGGATGGGGGGAGGGATGGGTGGATGGGGGATGGGTGGATGAGAGGAAGGAGGAGGTGGATGGGTGGATGAGGGGGGATGGGTGGGAGGGATGGGTGGATGGGGGATGGGTGGATGAGGGGAAGGAGGAGGTGGGTGGGGGGATAAGAGGTGGTGACTGAACAAAGGACTGGCAGGTGGTGAGCAGGGAGGGAATGGACACATAACAAACAGAGGGGACAGACAATGGCCAACGTGGGTGGGTGCACAGTGGGTGGTGGGCAGATGGGCACTGGTTGGATGCGCCCTGACCAGGAATCACACTGACTTCCTGGTTCCTGGTTCCTGAGCGCCGCCCGCCAGGCGTCATTCGTTTTATAGGCCAGGGCTGGGGTAACCGCTGCGGGCGGGCGTCTGGTCGGAGGGCAGGGAGCTGGGAGCTGGCCTGAGAGGCTGACAGGCCACTCTGCAGCCGGACCCACCGCCTCCGAGGTTGGACTCCCAGGCCAGCCTGCAGGGCCAGTGCTCCGCCCAGCACCCGTCCTGCCCCGGCTTTGCCTGGTGACCCGGCTGCTCCAGAGGTGACGAGGGGACACAGCGTGGTGGTGTGGGGGACTGGCGTCCGTGTGCGCGTGTGCGTGGGAAGGCCCCTTTCAAGGCAGAAACAATGTGGTGTTAAAATGGTGGGGAATGTGGGCTGGTTTTCAGCAGCTGTATGCAAATTGCATGCAAATGAACTACTTGCCTTCAAGTTCAGAGGAACAGTGTTGTGGGTCCGTGAGCCCAGCCTCTCGGCCTCATTCGGAGCGGAGCCCCTCGGAGGCTGGCTGGGCGGACGGCCACGGCCGCCTGGGTCCTGGCCCGGCTCGCAGCGACGTGGCCTGGCCCTGAGCGGTGGCTAAGGGGGACCCCGTTCCACACCCCCGTGCGGTGCCGTCCGCAGGCTCAGGGCAGGGCGCCCCCACATCACGATGGAGCTGGGTCACAGCCAGGGGCTCCGCAGGGACGCACATCCTGGGGCCGGGCCGGCCACTCCCGCTGCCCCACCCTGCTGCCCGTGTCATTAACCGTCTCCTGCCCGCTACCTCTGACAGCACAAGAGAAACAACAGAAGTAAGCCAGGCGCATGGCCACACCTTGAACTCTGAGGTGGGTGCCCTGCAGACGGGGTGCGGGCGGCGGCGGAGGGGCCTTGGGATGGGAGCTGCTCCTCTAACGAGCCACGCCTGGCTCCGGGCGGGGCCTTCTCGGGCCTAAAGGAGGCTCTGGAGGGCAGGGCGGAGGCAGCGCCATGGGCTGGGGATGGGGATGGGGATGGGGATGATGGGGATGATGGGGATGATGGGGATGGGGATGATGGGGATGGGGATGATGGGGATGGGGATGATGGGGCTGGGGCTGGGGCTGGGGATGGGGATGGGGATGAGGATGATGGGGATGGGGATGATGGGGATGGGGATGATGGGGCTGGGTTGGGGATGGGGATGATGGGGATGGGGATGATGGGGATGGGGATGTGGATGATGGGGCTGGGGATGGGATGGGGATGGGGATGAGGATGATGGGGATGGGGATGATGGGGATGGGGATGATGGGGCTGGGTTGGGGATGGGGATGATGGGGATGGGGATGGGGATGTGGATGATGGGGCTGGGGATGGGATGGGGATGGGGATGATGGGGATGGGGATGGGGATGATGGGGATGGGAATGATGGGGATGGGGCTGGGGATTGGGATCAGGATGGGGATGATGGGGATGGGGATGGGGATGATGGGGATGGGGATGAGGATGGGGATGATGGGGCTGGGGCTGGGATGGGGATGGGGATGATGGGGATGGGGATGGGGATGATGGGGATGGGAATGATGGGGATGGGGCTGGGGATTGGGATCAGGATGGGGATGATGGGGATGGGGATGGGGATGATGGGGATGGGGATGAGGATGGGGATGATGGGGCTGGGGCTGGAGATCGGGATCGGGATGGGGATGATGGGGATGGGGATGATGGGGATGGGGATGGGGATTGGGATCGGGATGGGGATGGGGATGATGGGGATGGGGATGGGGATGATGGGGATGGGGATGGGGATGGGGATGAGGATGATGGGGATGGGGATGGGGATGGGGATGGGGATCGGGATGGGGATGATGGGGATGGGGATGGGGATGGGGATGGGGATGATGGGGATGGGGATGGGGATGATGGGGATGGGGATGGGGATGGGGATTGGGATTGGGATCGAGATGGGGATGATGGGGATGGGGAAGGAATTATGGAGATGGGGATGGGGATGGGGATGGGATGGGGATGGGGATGGGGATGGGGTGGGGATCGGGATGGGGATGGGGATGGGGATGATGGAGATGGGGATCGGGATGGGGATGGGGATGGGGATGATGGGGATGGGGATGGGGATGGGGATGGGGATGAGGATGGGGATGGGGATAGGGATGGGGATGGGGATCGGGATGGGGATGGGGATGATGGGGATGGGGATGGGGATGATGGGGATGGGGATGGGGATGATGGGGATGGGGATGGGGATGGGGATGGGGATGGGGGTGGGGATGGGCATGTGTGCCCTCCAGCTGCTCCTGGCGTTCATGGAGGCGTGGGGAGAGGGCGTGAGCAGGAGAACCCCTCAACCTTGTCCTTCCGTGTATATATGCTTATGATATTTTGTTGATTTCAGAGAGGAAGGGAGAGGGAGAGGGAAACTTTGATGATGAGAGAGAATCGTTGATGGGCTGCCTTCTGCACGCTCCCTCCCCCCGCCCCACTCCCTCTCCCCGGGGAGGGAGGAGCCCACAACGCAGACCTGTGCCGTGACGGAAATCTAACCGTGACCTCCTCCTTGTCCTTTCCTGAGGTGGTTCGGGGGCCCTGGCTTCTCCTTCGGAGCCCCGGCCCAGGGAATGGCCGCTCCGAGAAGGTCCCCGTGACGGTCCGGCCTGGCCGCGGTGGGGGTGGGACGTCTGTCTCATTCCAGGCGACTTGGGCTGGACCTGTCACTCACCTTCCGTGTGACCCTGGGCCTCAGCGCGCCCATCATTGACATGGGCTCCTGGTCCGGACGGCGCCAGGCCTGAGCGTCAGCACCACGGACAGCGCCCCCGGCTGCTGCTCCGCAGGAGGCGGTGCGCCCAGCCACCTTCAGTGCCAATGGCTGAGCGTTGACTGTGGCCCAGAGGTCACGGCCCTGGTCTGGTCAGGCGCACGCTCGGGTGCTGGCTCGATCCCCAGTGTGGAGGCAGCTGATCCATGATTCTCTCTCATCTTGATGTTTCTCCCTCTCCTCCCTTCCTCTCCGAAATCAATTCAACTCTATGTTTTTAAAAAGTCCTTTAAAAAGTAAAAGTAAACACCCGTGGACCACGGCTTTCTCCAGGCACAGCCTCCGCCTTCCTAAGCTCCCTCCTCAGCCAGGTGTCTGTGAACAGCCCGCAGCGCAGTGGCCGCGGGGGGACGGCCTGCTGCCAGGGGAGTGCCAGGCTGCCACGCCTTGGAGGGTCTTGTCTGCCGTTCGCCTCGGTGCCCTCTCCGCTCCCTCTGATGAGACCCTGTCTCGGACAGCAGCCTGTTCCTCTCCCCTGGCCACCAGGGTGCCCCTCCCCGCCCCGCCCCGCCCTGCCCCTCTCCTCGGTGGCCTGCCCTTGTGGTGCCAGCACACGTGGGCTCTCTGGCAGCACCTGGGACAGGCCTCGAGGTTGCATGGACCCCACGGCCGTCCCAGCAGAGAGCTCTCTGCACCCGCCACTTCCTCGCTGGCCCTTGGGACAGGGTGCCCAGTCAGTGCAGGACGCGCCATTGTGATAGGCCGGCGTTTGTCACCCACTGAGAACACGGGTATTTAAAAAATATATATATATTTTGTTGATTTTTCACAGAGAGGAATAGAGAGGGATAGAGAGTTAGAAACATCGATGAGAGAGAATCATCGACCAGCTGCCTCTTGCACACCTCCTACTGGGGATGTGCCCGCAACCAAGGTGCATGCCCTTGACCGGAATCGAACCCGGGACCTTTCAGTCCGCAGGCCGACGCTCTACCACTGAGCCACACCGGTTTCAGGAACATGGGTATTTTTGATGCAAGCACTTAAACAATCCATTCCACACCCATCTCCCAAACCCGCTGGTTCTGAATAATTCTTTAGAAACGGAGTCTAAATATACACAGAGACGTTTCTGAGAAGCCACGGGTTCCGAAGGCATTTGCATGAGAAACGGCTTCTGAGGACACGCAGGCGCGGGAGGCTCCGCGGGGACAAGGGTCCCCTGGGTCAGAGGGCCAGCACCAGCACCACGTGCCCACCCGCCCTCCGGGAGCCCTGGGGGTCACTGCCTTCTCCACACCCAGGGACTTGGGTGCCCGCAGGGCCCCGTAGAGGGTGGGAGGGGAGCTCCCCCAAACCCCTTACCCCCCCCCCCGCCCCTCCTCCCTGAGCCTCCCCAGGGAGCCCTCACAGGAGGCAGACGCCCTGTGGCCTCTGTTTCACGTTTGTGAGACGGTGCTCCCCACTGGCTGGGCATACACCGATGCTGGTCCCTAAGGCCCGGACGCTGGTCCCTAAGGCCCGGACGGTGGTCCCTAAGGCTCAGACGGTGGTCCCTAAGGCTCGGACGCTGGTCCTTAAGGCTCGGGTGCTGGTCCCTAAGGCCCGGACGGTGGTCCCTAAGGCCCGGACGCTGGTCCCTAAGGCTCGGGTGCTGGTCCCTAAGGCCTGGACGGTGGTCTGTAAGGGCTGCAGCGTGTGGGCCAAGCTTCTGCCAGGCCCTGGGTCACGCCCCTGCCCGCCCTGCCCCCCCTCCTGCCCTCTGGCTGTCCCCGAAGAGCCCCCTGCCCCTGGTTTCAGTGGAAGGGGACCCAGCAGAGGGGCACCTGTGTGGGGCCTGGGACTGACAGCCCAGCGCCCGTCCTTCCTCACCGCGGACTCGCTGCCCATGAGGCCTGAGCCTCGCCAAGTTTGGGCGGCCCTGGGCCGAACGTCGCCCTGGCATGGAGAGCCTAGTGGGAGAGGGGCAGGCGCAGAGGGTGCCGGGCTGTGCACTGAGGGAGGCAGGGGCTGGGAGCCCAGGGAGGGCGTCCTGGAGGCGGCGCTGCTGGGGTTGGTTTTGGGGAAGAGGGAGAGCTCTAAGTGAAGGTGCCCAGGCCGAGGGGGGAGCCCGGGCAGGGGCCCTGCAGGCCAGGAGGCCGGGCCAGCCCAGCCGCACCCTCCGGGGCCTCCGGGGCGCAGGAAGCAGTGGGCCTGGGGCTCGGCGGTGGATCAGCCTGACAGCGATGGCACGGAGGAGGCTCGGACGGCGGACGGCGCAGAGACACTAATTGGGCCCCAAACGGGAGCGTAATTGGCGCTAATTGGCTCCCCACTGCCTCCCGCTGAGGCTGTCATTTCCGACAATCAGTCACCGCAGTGCTGGCCCGGTGTGGGAGCCAGGGCCAGGCGGGCCCCTCCTGGGGGCGGGCAGGGCTGAGGGCCCTCCTCACTGGCCTCGGCCCACTCTCCCTCCACCCCACGGGCATCGGGGCCTCACGGGTCAGGGGCTGGGAGTCCGGCCGGGACCTTGGACCCCACGTTCGCTCTCCCTGCATCCCTGGGCCCAAGCGTCCCCCTCTCCTAAGGAGGGCAGTTAGATGGGGTCCGGGCCACCCTAGGGACCTCTATGGCGGGGTCACCTCTGCTAGGGCCCCTCAACCAGGAAGTCCCCTCTGGGCCCTGCTGGTCAGGACCCAGGAGACTGGGAGGCACAGCCCACCCTGACCCCCTCCCAGGTCAGCGCCCTGCTGTCCCCAGCTCTGTCCCCGACCGCCGGCCTGGGGGAGGGCTGGTGTGGACATGGGTGCGTCCATCCCTCCGTCCTTCCGTCTGTCCATCCTCCATCCCTCTGTTCGCCCGTCCATCAATCCATCCGTCCATCACCCATCTGTCTGTCCATCAGTCCAGCAGCCCCGCCTGGGCCCGGGCTTCTGCCTTCAGGAAGGAACTCCAGAAAGTGAGGGCAAGCTCTCCCCAGCTCCATGGCCATCCTGGCGCCCCCTGGGGGCCGCAGAGGTGCCCTTGGGAGCCCCCTGCACTTTCCCAGAAAGCCCCTGTGTGGCCCCTGCGCTTCCATTGGCGCTGGGGAGGCGGTGTACCGGGGCGGCCCTGGCTCCGGCTGGGGAAGGGGCTCCCACTCATGGGCTCCTGGTGGGGTGAGGTGTGGACCAGGCTGCCTCTTCGCCTCCTGCCCTGGGGCTGCCCTGAGCCCCGAGATGGGAGGGGGTGCTCCTCCCCCGCCGGGAGCTCCCCTGGGCGGGGCGAGGGGGGCGTGCAGGTGCTGGGCTGGAGGGAGGCGGTGGGAGGGACACGGCTGTGCCGGAGGAGCTGGTGGGGCTGGGCTCCCAGCACCCATCAAAGGCCGTCTCCGCCTCCACCATATGTCCCGCCAGCAACTGGCAGCCGGCCACCTGTCACCACCGCCCGCCTCTGCCCCTTGATGTTGCTGCAGAGGCCCTGGGTCTGCTGGCGGGGAGGGGTCGAGGGGAGGGGTCGGGAAGGGATGGGGGGGATTGAGGAAGGGATGGGGGAGGGATGGGAGGATGTCAGAGCCTGGGAGTCCTGGGAAGTCCTCTCTGGGTGAGCGGCCCTGCGGCTCCCGGCTCCCCTCCCCAGTTCAGCCTGGAGTGGGGGTGGAGGATGGGCCGGAGGCTCAGGAGGGCGGGCCAGCATGTGGATCCTGCCCCAGCGGGAGCCTGCCCCTGCCCCGCGGAGGCTGAGCTGGGCCTGCCGGGCACCGGGGCACGGCCTGGCAGATGGCGGGCACGGCGCCGCTGGGTCTGTCAGCTGGGCTCTGCTGGGGCCACGCTGATGGAGCAGGGGCAGCAGCCGGGGTCACGGTCAGGCCTCAGTGCGGGACGGGTGTGAGGCCAGGCCCTGGACCCGATGCTGTTTCTGTGCCGTCCCCCCCTCGGGCTCGGTTTGCTTCCAGCTCCTAGGGAAGCGGGGTGCAGGAGGCGGACGCCTCGGGCACCCCATCTGTGAGTGGGGCGGGGAGCAAGCCTTGCTGCTGCTCCCAGCCTGCTGTCATCAGGAGCTGGTGGCCTTGGGCTGGTCTCTCTCTTTTTTAAAAAAAAATATCTTTACTGATGTCAGAGAGGAAGGGAGAAGGAGAGAGAGAGAAACATCAGTGAGGAGAGAGAATCATGGATGGTGCCTCCTGCAAACCCCCCACTGGGGACTGAGCCCACAACTGGCATGTGCCCCAACCAGAAATGGAACCACAACCTCCTGGATCATAGGGCGATGCCCAACCACTGAGCCACCCAGCCGGGCAGTCTCTTCATTGCGCTGAGCCCTCACCTGCAGACGGGAGTCCCCGGGACCCGCCTCCCAGGGCAGGGGGAGGGGGAGGGTATTTGCCTCCCAGGAATCGATGCAGCCATGTGTCCTGGGCGGAGCTGATCCCCGTGGCCCACCCCATCCCAGCCCCTTGTGCCCCCGCCCGCACACACTGCCTGTCTGTTCAGCAATGTGTCTCAGATACACCCACCGTCCAGGGCCCGTCACGTGACCTCTGAGCCGCATCCTGCCCTTGGCCTGGGCCTTTGTGATGGTGGCTGGTCTTTGGGCTGGTGTGTGGGTCCCTCCCACGGCAGCTGGATGGGGCTGCTCATCCAAGCAGTGCCCCCACCTGAGATAGTACCCAGGGCAGGATCGGATCCACACCCCAAAGCTCACTGTGGACACCGAGCTCCAACCCCGAGGTCAGCCCCACCTCCTCCAGGAGCCCCCACCCCAGCACCCTGTCACCGCCGAGCCCAGCCCAGGGCAGACCCTCCAGGGACAGCTTCTGCCTCGGCTCTGCCCTCGGTGGGCCCGGGCCTCTGCAGGCCACAGTCCCCAGCAGGCGTGAGTCATGTGCCCCCGGATGGGAGGCTGGGGGCCAGGACCCAGCACCCTCTCTCTCCCTCCCAGCTCCAGAGACACAAGATCAAGTGCTACTTCCTGTCGGCTGGAGTCACCGTTGTGCTGGTCATCATCCTCGTCATCGCCACCTCCGTCCCAAAGTGATGCCACTGTGGTAGGTGCCCCGACCCCACACCCTCATCCCTCCACCACCCACTCACCCATCTCTCCATCCATTATCCAGCCACCACCCATCTTGCCCTCTATCATCCATCCTTTCATCCATTACCCATCCATCTACCCATCCACTATCCATCATTCATCCATCATTCATCCATCCATCCATCCATCCATCCATCATCCATCCATTTATCATCCATCATCCACCCTTCCATCCATCCATTATCCATCCATCCATTTATCATCCATTATCCATCCATCATCTATTCATCCATCCATCCATCATCCATCCATTTATCATCCATCATCCATCGATCCATCCTCCATACATTTATCATCTATCATCCATCCATCCATCTATCCAGCATCCATTCATACATCTATAATCTATTCATCCATTCATCCATCCATCCTTCCATCCTTCCATCCATCCATCCATCCATCCTCCATACATTTATCATCTATCATCCATCCATCCATCTATCCAGCATCCATTCATACATCTATAATCTATTCATCCATTCATCCATCCATCCTTCCATCCTTCCATCCATCCATCCATCCATCTACCCATCATCCATCCTCCATAATTTTTTCATCCTTCCATCCATCCACCCACCCATCCATCCATCCACCCATCCATCCACCCACCCATCCGCCCATCATCCATCATCCATCCTCCTCTGTGCCAGGCCCAGGTGAGGCCCCGGTGTCTCAGCAGGGAACATGGCAGAGGGGCCTCTTTTCCTGGAGCTCACAGCCGACCTGCAGCTCCCATTACTGCTCACTGACTCCCCGAAGGTGACGCCGGCCGTTCACCTGGGCAGCCAGTGAGCAGCGGCTGCGGGCGGGCTGAGGGGCATGTGCTGGGAGCCCGGGAGGGAGGAGGCCTGGTGGGGAGACAGCCAGGGAGCCTCGTGGAGACCTGTGGGGGCTGGGGTGCGGATTCCCGAGCTCAGCGCCTGGGCAGGAGCTGGAGGGGACTGGAGGGACAGCAGGTGACGGGCTTGGCGGTAGCGGGAGCCGCCGCGGCCAGGCAGGTATGAGTTACTTATCGCTGGGCAGGATTAGCTCAAGGCTCAGTGTCCGAATGCAGCACAGACGCTATTGCCCACGGTTCCCACGGGCGAGGAGTCAGAGGTGGCTGCTGGGCGGCTGCTCCGAGGCCGGGCTGGGACGCCCGGGCAGCCAGGAGCCGGCTGTCTGTGCTGGGCTTGGGCCTGGGGAGGCTGGGTGCTCCTGGGACCCCTCCTCGGCCTCCAGGCGGGCGGGTCCCAGGGTCCGCTGTGGGGGGTTCCTCCAGCCCCAGGCCCCGGCTCCATCTCCCAGGGGCTCAATGGGCCCTCTCCCGCACGGGGCATGGGCCGAAGCCTGTGTGTGTGTGTGTGTGTGTGTGTCCTGCTGCCAGGCTCAGCCTCCCTGCTGATGGTGCCCCGGGGGCAGCTCGGGGCGGGGCGGGGGGGGGGGTGCGGGGGTCCATCCGGGGCCCTGCACCTCTGCTCGCACTGCCCGGCCCAGGGGAGGGCGCTGCGGGGGCCCTGCTCCTGGGAGGCCGTGGGCTGCAGGTGGGGGGGCTGGTGGGCGGGAAGAGGGTCCCCGGGTCACTGCAGCCCCCTTCCCGGGGCGCTGACCGAGCCCTTGTTTGCAGGTGGAGGCTGTCCCTGGCTGGGACCTGAGCGCCAACCGCCGTCCCCACTGGCACCGCCCGCCGGCCCCTGGCTGCACCCAATAAACTGCCTCCTCAGCCGCGTCTCCACCGCGCCTGCCTGGAGGCTCCTCCGGCTCTGGAGCCTGGCTCTGTGTGTGTGTGTGTGTGCGTGTGAGTGTGTGTGTGCGTGTGAGTGTGTGCGTGTGAGTGTGTGTATGAGTGTGTGTGCGCGCGCGTGTGTGTGTGTGTGTGTGCGTGTGTGTGCGCGTGTGTGTGCGTGTGTGTGTGAGTGTGTGTGAGTGTGTGTGTGAGTGTGTGAGTGTGTGTGTGAGTGTGTGAGTGTGTGTGTGCGTGTGCGTGTGCGTGTGCGAGTGTGAGTGTGAGTGTGTTTGTGAGCCCGGTGCTCTCTGGGTGGAGTTGCTGGCTGAGGCGGGCGGGTGTGAAGTGTGTGGGGTGTCCCGGCAGTGACCTGCCCGGCCCGGCCCCTCCCACGGGAGACCCCCTCTGCCTCCTGAGGCCGCAGGATGAGGTCCTGGCGGGGCAGGAGCAGAGACCCCGCAGGGGAGGGGGCAGCGAGCAGAGGCCCCATGGGGAGGGGGGAGGCCTGTGGGAGGCTGAGGGACCCGCCGGCTCAGGCACTGCCCCCAGCGCCTCAGAAGCTCGGCCTCAGGGGTCAGAGGGCCGCCTGGGCCTCCCAGGGTCTCACGCCGCTTCTGCCCCCTCCCAGCCCAGGCCCCAGTCCTCGGGGGCGGGGAGGGAAGGGCCCAAAAGGTTGGGGCCAGGCTGCTTCCTCCCACCTGCCTCAGGGTTTACAATTCTGTGCGGCTCTTTCTGCCACAGGGAGGGGTGGGACAGCCGGATGGCGGGCAGACCCCGGCTGAGCTGCGGCCAGCTGCGGCCGCCGCCTCAGCTTTGCTGCCGTGACTGGTGGCTGCCTGGGCCCCAGGGGCGGCTGCGGGAGGTGCCAGGAGCAAATTGGATTTGACACCCAGCTCAGGTGTGGGGCAGCCGGAGGACAGGCCCGCCTGGGGGTCTGAGCCTGCAGCTCGGCACCGGCACCCCCCACCGGCACCCCGCACCCCGCACACAGCAGCTGCTGGCCAGGCTGGAAGGCTGGGAGGGGCAGTGGGGGCTGTGGGGGCTGGGAGGGGCTGGGAGGGGCTGTGGGGGGCTGGGAGGGGCTGTGGGGGCTGGGAGGGGCTGGGAGGGGCTGTGGGGGGCTGGGAGGGGCTGTGGGGGCTGGGAGGGGCTGGGAGGGGCTGTGGGGGGCTGGGAGGGGCTGTGGGGGCTGGGAGGGGCTGTGGGGGGCTGGGAGGGGCTGTGGGGGCTGGGAGGGGCTGTGGGGGGCTGGGAGGGGCTGAGGGGGCTGGGAGGGCTGTGGGGGCTGGGAGGGGCTGTGGGGGGCTGGGAGGGGCTGTGGGGGGTGGGAGGGGCTGTGAGGTGCTGGGAGGGGCTGTGGGGGCTGGGAGGGGCTGGGAGGGGCTGTGGGGGCTGGGAGGGGCTGTGGGGGGCTGGGAGGGCTGTGGGGGGCTGGGAGGGGCAGTGGGGGGCTGGGAGGGGCTGAGGGGGCTGGGAGGGCTGTGGGGGGCTGGGAGGGGCTGTGGGGGCTGGGAGGGGCTGTGGGGGCTGGGAGGGGCTGTGGGGGCTGGGAGGGGCTGGGAGGGGCTGGGAGGGGCTGGGAGGGGCAGTGGGGGGCGGGGCCGGCCTGCACTCGGGTTGGAGGGGTAGTCTCTGTCCCGTCTGGGAGGCCTGAGACCTGGAGGCACCGGTTGGGCCCCAGAAGCTGAGGTCCAGTGGGGCCGTGGCCCCCATTTGACAGAGGCGGTCACTGAGCCGGAGAACGGTCCGCCTGCGAGGACAGGCCGGTCTGCCCGCTGCCGGAGCGGCGTCACGGTGGAGAGCCGGGCCGGCAGCCCTCCGGGGGCAGGCAGGGCCGAACACCTGCTCGGGCCTGCGGAGCAGCTGCTGGGGTGAGAAGTTCAGGCCGGTGGCCGAGGGCGGCTGGGGGCCAGGAGGCAGACGCCCGGACAGCGCTGAGGTCAGCGCCCGCCGCCAGCGCCCGCCCGGCTCCGGCCTCCGCTCAAGGAGCCCGGGTGCCCTTCAGCTCCGCCGGGTGGAGCCGCGAGAGGCTGAGAGCCACGCGCTGTCCCTGCTGAGCCGGAGAGGCCTGCCCCGCGGTGCCCGTGGCTACGGCACAGGACGGGCAGCGGTTGGTGTGAGCAGCGGTGACCATGGGATCCCTCCCAGAGCCAGGAGGCTGGGGGAGGACGCTCCTGTCCCTCCTGGGGGAAACCGTCCCCCATACATGGCCGGGGGTGGGTTCCCAGAGCCGGAGGTCGGTTGGAATTGTGAACCTCCCTTTCAGGGAGGCAGGAGGTGGAGGACCGGCCTCAGCACATGGCCCGTGGCTCAGAGCTGTTTGCTCAACGGGAGCCACACCTCAAGCACCCATGTCCCTTTCCTTCCGTTTCTCCTCGTCCCGTCTCTCCCTGGCCATCCTCTCAGCCACCTCGGTGCCCTGGAGGAAGCACCCATTCCTCACGGGCCTCTATCTTTCCATCCATCCATCTCTCATCCATCCATCCCTCATCCATTCATCCATCCCTCATCCATTCATCCATCCCTTATCCATCCATCCATTCCTTATCCATCCATCCATCCATCCCTCATCCATCCATCCCTCATCCATCCATCCATCCATCCCTCATCCATCCATCCATCCATCCATCATCCATCCATCCATTCCTTATCCATCCATCCATCCATCATCCATCCATCCATCCATCCCTCATCCATCCCCCATCCATCCCTCATCCATCCCCCATCCATCCATCCATCCCTCATCCATCCATCCCTCATCCATCCATTCCTTATCCATCCATCATCCATCCATCCATCTATCCATCCTCCCTCATCCCTCACCCATCTATCCCTCATCCATCCATCCCTCACCCATCCATCCATCCCTCATCCATCCATCATCCATCCATCCATCATCCATCCATCCATCCATCCATCCATCATCCATCCATCCATCTATCCATCCTCCCTCATCCCTCACCCATCTATCCCTCACCCATCTATCCATCCCTCATCCACCCACCGCTGGTCATTACCCATCCATTCACTCTCCCGATGGTTGTGTGCCCTGAGCGCCCCCTCGCCTGGGCTTGGTTCAGGAGTAAACGAGGACCCCCTCACGGGAGCCCGTGGTGGGAGCCCGTGGCTGTGGGGGGCTCACGGGAGCACAGGTGCACGGAGCAGGCGGCCGGGAGCTCGGCCGGCCGGGGTGGCTCCCCAGGAGACGCCGGGAGCCGCAGCGGGCAGGGTGCCCTCCTTCCCGCCCAGAGCCCCAGAGCCCGCTTTCGGCCCCAAGTTTTCAGTTCTCTCTCGAACCGTCCCTGCTTCCTTCCCTTCGCGCTTTCCATTTAAATACCCAATTTGTTTACTCGCTGAGCTCAATCGACAAGGGACCCTCTTGGATTTGCAATTCAATTGACGATGATGCATTGCATCCCAATCACGGCTCCGATGGGCTCCCTTTCCATTTGTTTTCCTCCAAAGCGCTCCTCGGCGCTAATTCTGAGCCCAATCGGCCCCGGGACCCTCCTCGTCAGGAGAGAAGGATGGGGCTGCGGCTGGGCCGGCTCTGCTCGCTGCCCTCTGTCCCCGTCCGCCGACCGCACCCTGGACCAGACGAGGTCACCGTGGCGCTATGACGGGCTCAGACAGGCCTGTCCCTCCCCTGCCCCCCTGCCCTGGACTCCCCACCCGGAGGGCCTGCTGAGCACACCTCTCCCCACTCCAGGCCTCAGTCTCCCCACCTGTGAAGTGGGCCTGACGGCTGTGTCTGCGTGTCCTGCCTTTCTGGGATCCGTCCCTCCACCTGACCTCAGTGTCCCTCCCGGCAGCCACCGGCCTGGGCCGCAGCTGCCCAAAAGGAGCTCCCCCTGCTGGTCACCATCCCACTGCACCTCCGGGGACGGCACTGGGGCCAGGGGCTGGCCGGCTGGGCGTGCAGGTGGGGCAGCATCACCACCCCTTTCCAGATGGGGCACCGAGGGTGTCTGTGTGCATGTGTGTCCGTGTGTGTCTGTGCATGTCTGTGCGTGTCTGTGCGTGTGATGAGGGCTGTTCTCAGAGCCTCAGGAATGGTGTCCGGGGTCCACCTGCCGCCCCGAGCCCGGACACCAGGCAGCTCCCGTTCCGTCCAGGCCCAGTTCCTAATGTGGGCGCGGGGCGCGGGGCAGGGACAGCGTGTGGGCGGCACCCGCCGTGGCCACTGAGGAGCCTGAGGCCCGGGGCCCAGTCACCTCTGTCCCCCCACTGCCCGCTCCCTCTCCAGCCGGGGGTGGGGGTGAGGGTGTTCTCCCCCCGCTCCCCCGCTCCCTCTCCAGCCGGGGGTGGGGGTGAGGGTGTTCTCCCCCCGCTCCCCCCGGCTGCCTCTGCTGGAGGCTCCCACGGCCGCCCACTCCGGCCCTTTCCCTCGGCACCTCCCCGGGCGGACCTGCTCCTTCGTAAGGACCCCCGGCTACGGGGCACACGGTGAGGGAGCCGGGCCGCCCACCACGGCCGACGTGCGGCAGCCGGGAGCTGCCCGGGGCAGGCCGGCCGTGGTGCGGGCGCGAGGGGCCTGGCCGCTTCTCCCTGCGGGGTGGGGTGGGGCCGCCCGGTCCCTGTCCGTGGCTCCTCCCACTCCTCCCTGAGGCTCGGCAGGGCCTCACCTGCACAGCCAGGCCGGTGGCGCTGCCTCCCCTGCTACGCCCCCCCCCCCCCCGTCCGCCCCCCGTCTGCCCCCTGGAGGCCACGGCCCCGCTGTCCCCAGCCCTCCTCTTGCACGTGGCTTTGCACGCTCACTGTGCGTTGGTGTGCAAGTCCCTGTCCCCCGTTTCCACAGACAAACGCCCGCTCCCGGCACCTCTGCTCCTGGCAAGCCGCACCCCCCCCCACTGCGGGCGTCCCCACAGCCGCACCCGCCTGCACCCGGCCTCGCCCGCCTCAGCAGCCCGGACCTATCCCCGCGCGGGTGCTGCTGGCTCGGCTCCGCCGCCGGCTCCTCGCCGAGCTTCCCGCCACCGCGGCTTCTCGGAACGCGGGTCACGGAGGCTGGAGGAGCGCGCACACATCAGCTG